CTATGGTGGATGGGTGTAGGTGATGGAGGTGGAAGAAGGGTTGGGGGTGGTCGACTATGGTGGATGGGTGTAGGTGATGGAGGTAGAAGAAGGGTTGGGGGTGGTCGGCTATGGTGGACGGCGTAGGTGACGGAGGAAGGAGACTTAAGGTGGGAGAATAGTGGTGAAGATGACGAGAGGACAGGTGCAAAGCGATCCTTAGCCCGTGTTGCCCCCTAATCAAGCGCCCGGCTCACCGCCGGTCACGACCCCTAATCCCGGAACCAGGCCACCCTGCCATACATTACTTCTCCGAGGTTACCCGTCACAGCAAAAGTGTGACGAAACCGAACCAAACTACCGGGATTGCAGCACACACACAAATGCATACATCACATGTCACCGGTTACAGGAAAGGTGAGACGGGATTGGACTGAACCACCGAAACTGCAGAGCACACACACGCACACACATACACACTTCACATGTCACTGGTTACAGCAAAGGTGAGAAGGGACTGCATTGAACCACCCGGACTGCAGCAAACACACACACACACACACACACACACACACACACACGCATACACACTTCACATGTCACCGGTTATAGCACAGGTGAGAAGGAACTGAATTGTACTACCGGACTGCAGTACACACCCATATACACACATACACACTTCACGTGTCACCGGTTACAGCAAGAATGAGAAGGGACTGCACTGAACCACTCGGACTGCAGCACACACACACACACACACACACACACACACACACACACACACACACACACATACACACTTCACATGTCACCGGTTACAATACAGGTGAGAAGGCACTGAACTGTACTACCGGACTGCAGCACACACCCATATACACACATACACACTTCACGTGTCACCGGTTACAGCAAGAATGAGAATGGACTGCACCGAACCACTCGGACTGCGGCACGCACACACATACACACATACACACTTCACATGTCACCGGTTACAGCAAGGGTGAGAAGGGACTGCACAGAACCACCCGGACAGCAGCACACACACACATACACACATACACACTTCAC